ATTTATAACAAAAAAAAATTAAGGAGTATTTTCGGGGATTTTTTGTTCTGGAGATTTTTGCCCACTAATCTAAAACTTAACTTAATCAAACCTAAATTAAACATAGCATTTTTAAGTGTAGTGTGATAATCTGACCAAGTATTAATACAGTGACCTAGACGTAATATATTCTTAATACTATATGCCAAAATATTTTTGAATATTTATTCCAGTGAGGCTGCGTGCAAAAACCATTTTAAAAAAATTCGAAAAGTTTAAAAACTTTGGCAAATTTTAAAATTCTAACGAAATCATATGTTCAATTTTTAAAATTTTTAAAATTTCTAAAATTTTCTAGCATGGGATATTTTTATTTTTATATTTAAAATAGCTTATTTATTACTTTGAAAACATTTTCTGCTTTATTTTATTTATGATGATATGATACAACACAGCACATAGGTTTTAAAATGATAATTAAATAAAGAGTCAAATATTCATTAATAAAATAAATTAGAGAGTAGACAATTTACTTAGTAAATTATAAATAATAAGTAGTGAAAATTCAAGACTATATATTTTATGATAATATTTTTTTTAAAGATAAAACTATAAATGATTTGATTGGTCAATATATTTTATCTTTACATAAATTATTTACCTTTAAAAAAAGGTATTGAAGGATTTTGCAATGTAAAATGTGGGGATTCGAGACTGAGTAGATGTGCTGAATGCCCAGCGAATCGAAAATTGTGATCCAGTAAAATACAATAACAAACATATTGCTATTTATTGATGATTTTTTAATTATAGAGCAATAAAAATTCGCGGTTTATAGTTTATTATAATGTAAATGATCAATTCTTTGTAAAAAGAAATAAAGAATATAATTGAGAACGTACCACATCATATTCCATATATTATTTAAATTAATGATCATCTTGAAAGATATTTTATGCATGATGAAAATACAGTAGATACTAATAAAAGATTTATCATCAAAAAAAATTGGGTATCTAAGTAAAATTTGATAAAAAATTTCTGATCTTACAAAAATCTTAAATAGTTCAAATAAATTTTGAAGATTTTTTTCAAACCCTGGATTTTATATTATGTCGTAAGGGGTTTAATTCCAATATAGGCTCCATTGGTCTAGCAATTTTTTAAAACTTGAATTATATATAGTATAAGCTTTTGTTTTAAAATTTGATCTTTTCGGAACTTTATTCTAATATTTATCTCATTAATTTCAGACTTTGAAAATGAATTTTTGTTTATTTAAATTTAAGAAAATCTACCATATTAAATTAATACAAATAATTCTAGGAAAACTTGTCCTAAATTCTCTTTTCATTGATAGTTCCAAAAAGACCAGATGGTATCACCATAATGTTTTATTCTAATGATCCACCACCTCGTCTGGGACTAACACTTGTATCAACTTCTCGGCCAAGCCCAAATAAATTTCACCAGTCGTTTAGTGCTAAATCCTTAAAATAAATTGACCCACCTAAACAACATAAAAATATATATTAAATTTTTCTCAATGTTCTGAATTGATGGGAGGCAAGAAAATAACTACCAATATTGAAGATTTCAATGAGGGACTTTTTCTTTGCCAAAAAATTGCCATAACGATTTCCTCCAATTTTTTACAGTTCTTCCTATTCTTTTTAATATATAGCTTAGAGATCTGCAAAGTTAGGCCCAGCCCGGGTTCGGGCCTAATTCTATTTAAAATAATCGGGTTCGGGCCGGGTCTAATATTTTTAAAAAAATTCGGGCCGGGTCGGGTCGGATTTTAGAAATTTTTTTAAATATATCTAAATTTATCAATTTTATATTGAATTTTTATGTAAAATAAAAATTTTTGATTTTATTTATTGAAACTAAACGCCATATAACATATATCTTTTATTTAGAGTAATTATAAAAATTAATTTCTATATTTAAATAAATTCGGGCCGGGCCGGGCTTGAAAAATTAGGCCCGATGCAGATCAATAATAGCCCTTCCTGTTAGATTTTTTTTAGTCACCCTTTTTTAAAACTTTTATTTATTTTAAAATATATATTATAATATAAATAACATTTATATATAACTATATGAAAATATAAAAAACATATAAACTAAAAAAAAAATTAAAATAAATACTATATATCGATATATAACATCATTAAACTATGGGGATTTCAAAAATATAAAAAGATATATAAATTTTTATGTCTATTAAACATTCCCAATACTAGCTGTTTTTATCAGCAAAATTATTTCTAGTAAACATTTTTTAAACTTTTTAGCAAATTATATATTTTTAACCAATAATATTTTTGAATTGAAAACTACTGCGCATGTCGAGACAAGACATTAAACCATCGCTTTACCAAAAAAAAGTCAATAAGAAGAGGAACAAAAATGAATTTAGAAAAAACATAAGACGGTCTTCGTAGAGATACGAGGAAACTAAGATAATTGCTTCAAAATAGAGCAATTTGAACTTATTGTAAAATTTTAAAAGAGGATCCCCATTGATTATCCAAAATTTTTTATACAAAATCTTTAAAAAATGATAGCCTAGAGGGGTCTAAGGACAATAAATAAATATGGGTATAAAATGAAAATCTGAAAGGTCGTGGTGTAATAATCGGATCAATTTCTGAAATCGAGGAGAACTGGGAGATACAAGTTAAATCCTAAATAAAGTATTTTTTCTAAACCAAGGAATATCTGTAGGGCCAATAAATGAACGGGTTTCAGGAGATTTTAGCCAGCCCTAATTTATTCGAGATTATATAAGTTAATAGCTCTGTGGCCACCGAACCACCCTTTAAAACAAACTAAACCATGTCTGTCCTTAAAATCGGACTCTTCCCTGCACCCTTTTTATTTATAAGGTAGACCTAGGTAGCAGCCAAATAGATGTACTATGGACATCTTCAGCTACTCCTTTGATAGCAAAAACCAAGATTTTCACTGGAAACAGCTTCACGCTATATGGAGTCATTAATCTTCATTAAATTCTTAAGGCCAGCCAGAAGAAGGTTAAGAAATTCTCTTTGTGCCGTGTACTCCGGAAGAGATGAAGGCATAAATTTTCCACCATAGATCACAGGCTTTCAAATAGACCTCACAAGAATACCAATAACCTCCTCCCATTGAAAACGAGAAGGAGAGTCTTACAAGGATACTAAACTGAGAAGGATAAACTCCAAACTACCTTGTTTGATTGGAAGTTAGGCAATCACCCAATTAAATTCTGAAAAATGAATGTTTAAAATATTAGGAAATATATATTTTTTTCACACAAGGGCGAAAAGCTAACCTCTAGTGTCAATTTTTAACAACAAAACTTTTGTCGTGAATATTTTACAACGAAAACAATATATTAGAGGCTATTTTATTTAGTGAATTTATTATCACAAATTTTTTTTAGGCGATTTTTAATTATATAATTTTTTTATTATAAGTTTGATGTTTTAATATATTATTTTCGATTAAGATAGATAGCATTTATTACAAATATTTTAAAAGGTAGTATGGTTTTTGACAAACCCTTTTTAGTAGTGTCAATTTTTAACAACAAAACTTTTGTCGTGAATATTTTACAGCAAAAACAATATATTAGAGGCTATTTAGTGTTTATTATCACAAATTTTTTTTTAGTCGATTTTTAATTATATAATTTTTTTTATAGGTTTGATGTTTTAATATATTATTTTCGATTATGATAGATAGCATTTATTACAAATATTTTAAAAGGTAATATGGTTTTTGGCAAACCCTTTCGCTAGTTTGTTTAAGTTAAAATTCTTAACGACCTCTAGTGTCAATTTGTAACAACAAACAAATCTTTTGTTGGAAATATTTTACAGCGAAAACAATGTAACGAAGGCTCTTTCAATTTATTAATGCTAATTTTATATAGTCGAATTAAATTATATATTTTTTTTTATTATAGATTAAAAGGTTATATATAGTATTATCGTATCTAAAAATGACGACTAAATAAAATTTGAAATATAATACAAAAAATTAATGTATAGTAAAAATTTGCTAAAATTTGCTTAAAAATTAGTAGCCAAACAGCGGAATATTCCTGCTTATCAATTTTGGTATTTGATAAAAAAATCGTCCAAAATTTATACATCTTTAGAGCCTTATCTTCATTTTTAAACTTTTGGTGATAACATATTTGTGAAAAAATGTTTTGCGGAAAAAGTTATATTGTATTGATATGAAGCCATTCATCTAAATATGGTATTTTTTTGACCTTTAGCAGAGGCCAAATAAATATAAAAAGTTTGGCAACTTTATTTTCTCTTAGCTTGCAACACTAACGGTCAAATTAACAATCCATCACGTTCAATTTTTTTTTAAATTTAGCACGTAAAATAAACATTTGAAGGATAATTTTTATTCTTTAGACAAAATATACAAATTAGAAAATTTTAAATATTATTCCTTTTTTAGGCAGAATCCAATTTTGTTTTTCTTAATTTTTTATTTAAATTATTTTTATTTTTAAAGCAAAAGATGATGGAAACAAAGGGATCATTTCAACGCACATCACATTATAATAATTTGCCCCACCTAAATTAAGATTATTAGAGGTAGTAGATTTAACTTCTATTATGAAATCAAATTTAATTAGAATTCGCAGAAAAAAGACTTATTTTTTTCTACGAAAGAAGGAAGAAAAAACAGAAAAATATTATAGTGACGGAGGATGATATTAATTTTTTCTTTTCAAACTATATTTTCATATTTATTTGGGTTGACTAAGGCGAAATATATTTTAAAAAAATGCTTATTTTATGTTCTCGAAAAAATTTGAATATTTTTCTAATTAATTATTTTGGCATCCTCTCGAAAATATTTTTGATAAATTTTATTTATTTTATTTTGTAACACACCCTCGCGTTTGATATCCTATCAAAAAATTATTTATTTTTATTTAACAAATCAGGAATTCTGCCAAATTTTTTTATTTTATTTTATTTCATTATGATTTTGTTATTATTTGTTTTGCCTACTCTACAAAATTTATATTTTTATTGATAACCCCCCACCTCCTTAAATATTATGTGAATTTTATTTATTTTTTTGTCTGTATATAATATAGACTGGCTGCGTCATCCATAAATTTTCGGAAATTACATGATTATTTTAAAAATAAAATATTTTTCCTTCCCCTCCAGTTAATTTATTATTCTATCTGAAATTCTTTTTTTAAACATTAGAAAAAATTATACCAAATCAAAAATAAAAAGATTATATCTCTTATCTTATCTAACACGTTTTAAACCTTTCAAAGTTATCAATACAATCCGTGAATGGAAAAAAATGAAGAAGCATTGATTGAAAATTCTCGGTTTGTAAATAAACATGCTAGCGAAGAGAGAAAGTACCAGTTTGATCCTTCCCCTTCTGAAGAAGAACCTAAAGACAGGTTAAATATAAAATAATTTAGATTACATATAAACAATATTATAGGAGAAATTTAGTTTACATTATTATGCTATTACATGGTATAGGAGTACTTATTCCGTGGAATATGTTCATCAATGCTAATTCAGTAAATAAATATTTATTTGAGATAAATAAAAAAAGATTCCCTAGTATTTTGTAGATTACAAATTAAATCCAAATGTAACTGGCACTCACGAATATAAGGATGATTTTATTAGTTATCTAGGAATAACTTCTCAATTGCCAAATGTTATTTTAAATGGATTAAATTTATTTCTTCAATTTGGTGGTTCTTCCAAAAAGGATAAAAACCCTAAAGCTTACCAAACCCAACCAAGAATACCTATTGCAATCATTATTGATATTCTTATGTGCATATTAACAGTTGTATTAGCCTTTATGGATACATCAACTTGGTCAAAAATATTTTTTATATTAACAATGATTACCGTAGTTATCATGAATTGTGCTACAGGAATTTATCAAAGCTCAATCTATGGATTAGCAGGAAGTCTACCGATGAAATACACGAATGTTATAATTATAGGGAATAATATTTGTGGAACCTTGGTTGCTTTAATATACATCTTAATGTTATACGCATCTCCCAGTCCAAGAATAGCGGCCATATGGTACTTTATTTCAGCAATATTGATACTTTTTGTGTGTTTGGCAGCTTATTTTGCTCTAGCCCGTTCGGTAAAATTTTTATAATTTAATTTACAGATTTTATTTGTATATTTATTGGGGAGGGGGGGGGTATATAAGTGGACACATAATTTTTTATAAAATATCACACCTTTAACTATGGAAATAGAAAAACAACAATATATTTATTAATCTTAATAAAAAAATTTCATTAAATTTATATTTTACACATATGCTTGTTAGTACGGGAAAGGTTGAGCCTATATAGGGGGGTTGTTGTAAGAACTATAAAATTTATCATTCTTGCATATAAAAATTACAAATAAATTAATGACCTGACTTTTATTTTTTCTTGTGCATATTTTTAAAAATATATTTATCAATTCGAATTTTATATTAATTTCTAGCAAAATAATGATAAAAATTCTATCTTTCCCCCAAGAAAGGTTTGATTTTATTGTCGTTTATTCTGCCAACGATAACCGGTCTCCTAATATTTATTTTTATTTGCAATTACTTGAGTCTTTTATATTATTTTCTACTGATGCATAGAGACTTCACTTTTAAATAAAAAAACTTTTATTAATAAGGATTCGTTTAACACAAATTTACTCTTAATATTCCAATTCCTGTTTATAAAATAGTTAATTCCTATAATCTTTTATCTGAGTCTTGTATAAATAATCCATTGTAATTGTTTCATTTTCATCATAGCCACTCAACTTAATTTGTGTCACATTTTCTTTCCAAATGTCAAAAATCTATTTGGAATACTTTTTATGCAATCTCTCCTAAATAGTAATGTCGAAACTGCTACCAGATTTATCGAGTCTCATAAAATAAACTATTTAATCACTCAGAATTATGAAACACTCCTTAAAGGTTGAGAATACTCGAAACTCAATAAAATACCTAATTCTCAGAATTATTTCTTTATGCTAAGATATAAAACGGAATTGCCCAGAAAATGGATATTCATAAAAGATAGCTCAAAAAAAATATATGAAAAATTATCTTCCAGGGAATTTTTTTTAATATTTTTTTCCCCGATAATTATTTCCCGCTCACCAAAATGGGGATCCAAATCTCTCAATATAAATTTACTGAGGGTCATTTTTAAATTCGAAAAACCTGATTTAGAAATGTGTTACAGCATATATAAAGTACCCAGAGTCAGACTGAATTTCAAATTTTTTTGCAGCGAACTTTTTTGAACTACTAGAATGTAACATTTTAGATTTTAAATGATTTGATTAATTTCTTTTTAAATTGGTAAAACCCGGACAGAACCGTTATGAATTCGACCGGAACGAACCGATATGAATTTCTTAATAAAACCCGGTATTAAACAAAAATTTCAAAATGATAACCTGAACGAACCGCTCTAAAACCCTGTCTGAATGTCGAAACATCTAGTTCAGAACACATCACGACGGCACCTCTTTGTTATTATTCATTCAATGAAATTTAGTTGTCTTTAAGAATTTTTTTTGAGATTATTAAATCCTATAAGTTCATAATTAAATAAATATATTTGGAAGGATTTAGTATTTTTTGCTATACACCACTTTGTCTTGTTTTTATTCATAATCTTTAATTTCAAGTTCTGTTGTAAATAATTTTTATTAGTGTCATCCTCCTTTACTTCTACTAACTGTTTATTTTTTCTCCATTGGCAGGGACATTTTGAACTCCTGTGGCTATCTCTCACTTCGCCCTTACCACGAGATCTCTTGATGCTTTTTTCGCTCCGTTATATAGCTCCTAATATTTTTCTTCTTCCCAGGCATCTTTATTATCAACTCGTTTCCCTTCATATGAAAGAAAGAATGAAATAAAGAGAGTTGACAAAAAGTCACGACTTTATTCATAAATATTTTAAATACCATAATAATTTGTGATACCCCGGGTCGCTATGAAAAAAAATGAAATTTTATACACATATTTGATATAAAATAATTTTTAAAAAAAATTACTAAAATAATATAGAGATTTTATAGGTACCATTTACGTGCCCCGGCCATATCCGAGCAGACTGACGGATTGATAAAAGATTCCAAATCTACTAAATACAAATCTGCCGATTATTACTCCGTATTCAAAAAGGTTTTTTTTTGTAAATTGTATCTGTCATAAATATCAATTTTTTCGTAAAATTTAAGTTTTTCTTATTCTTAAAAAAGATCGCAAATTACAGCGGCCATTAAATATATCATCGAACCCCTGACCTGTAATTTTTGCCGGGTTAAAACCATATTTTAATTTTTTCCAGAGTTTGAAATTCTCTTCAAAAATCTTTGACGCCTAAAGATTTTTTTTGATAATATTCTTATAAATTAAAAAATTTCTTTGAAATCATTTTGCTCTAATTTTTGGGCCTAAAAGATTTTTAATAAAATATTTGAAAATTTTTTTTTATTCAATCTCTGTTTTAAAAAAAAAATATATCTTAATTTATTTAAGATTAGTTTTTTCTTAAATATTGAGACATTAATTCTTCTTTCAGAGCATGAGATAATACCATTTTATAATTTAATCCGATTAAATCACATATTCATAAATAAAATATAAACTTTGGTTTTTATAATTATAGAAAAATTTCATAATTCAATTAAATTTTGATATTTTTCCAAAACCGTACCACATCTCTTATGATTGTTAGAACCTGAACCGTAATCGGATTGTAACTTTCATTCGTAGTGGTTTGGACACTTGAATAAAACCATTTTTTTTTCTTTTTTAAAGATATGGGTACAATGCTTTGGAGTATTTTTTTGCTACTTTGTCACCTTAACTGTCTTTCCGGCTATCCAAGTCCATATTAAGAAAAGCGACCCAAATTATTTTATACCAGGTTCATCATATTATTTTTTCTATTTTTAAACTTTTTTGCTGCAAAAAAAACTATAAGCAGCGCCATATTTTATTATGCCATAGTTTCTCTTTATAATTAGAACCATAGCACTCTATTTTACCTTTAATCAATGAATAATTCCTTTATCACCCCCTTTCATTCATGATAAAATTTTAAAATGAAGTAAAATAAAAATATAAGCATATACTTACTATCCCCGAGTTGCCCCCTGAAATTTTATGACCATTTTATCGTATACCACCATTCCCTGATTAAAGTCCTGCACGGACAAGTCCGGTTCCTGTCTAGAGGTTGTAATCAATTAAGCTATTCCTATCTTTATTTTTATGGACTACCATACCACCAAAAACAGACCCCCCCCTCATTAACTTCCTTGATTAATACTTTTACCTCTCTCCAAAATTTTGGAAATTGATATAATAAAAACAAATTGAATTCCCTTTATTGAAAGTATTCGTTAAGTAACACGAGTCAACTGATTTGTAACTTAGGGGCTGTATAAAAGAAATTAAAACCTGCCATAATTTAAACTTAATTATACTTATTAACTCTAAACTAAACCAGGGTCTAAGGCCTAATGTTGACTGCTGGTCATTATTTGATATGTCTAGGATTCGGTTACGTTATATTGGGCCTCAAATCCTGTTTCATATAGCTTTTTTATAGTGTCCTTTTAACAACCTATAGTAATAAAATAAAGATACTATGTTATTGAAAGATATTACTATCCTTCTGAAAAAAATAGGACACTATGACACTATACGATTAAAAGAGTTATAATTTACGTGACATTATGATCATAAATTCACAAATGCTTTTAAATTTATGTGTATCTATTATGTTTTAAATTATTTTTATAACGCCTCGTAGTCATAAATTTGTCTTATAATTTTATAGTCGGAAATAAGATTTCTTTAATTATGTTTTTTATGCAATATTAAGTTTTGAAAAAGGTATGTATCTTTATTTTTTTTTATATATTATTTTTTTAGTTTAAATATATTTTATAAAAAAATTAATAAAATTATTTATTCAGATAAATACTTTGAGGCCATTATAACGTTCCTCAATTTCAACTTATTTTCGTTGATAGGAAATTTGATAACCGAAAAATTTAAAAAGGTATACTTAAATTTTATTAAGTTAACTTGCGGATTAACTTTACTACAATAATTTTTTCCGATAATCTATTGTCATTAATATACAATTATTTTAAATTTTGAACATATACATATCTAAATGCAATTTCACTCATTTTAAGGTTCATTTTAATATATATTTTTTTATCCACATGCTTTTTAATTTAGAAAAGTTTAAAGATATTTTGATTAAATTTTTTAACTCAAGCCCGGGCCCAAATGGGTTTGGTTACCCATCCTCCTGAGAGCTGCTTTTATACCCTTGTTCTTATTTTGCAATTACCGTCCCGACATTAGAAAATTGCCAGTTTTGATCAAAAATGACTTTACTTATGCTCTACTCGGCATTTTGCTAGCGGTTACCAATGGTTATTTCAGTTCCCTGAGTATGATGTATGCCCCTAGGTAATCCGTTGATTTCATATTTTTTTATATTATGAATTCTTTAAGTTAACAGTTCGCTTAACTAGATTTAAAGGTGTATTTCCTATTGGGCAGTTTTGTAATTGGTTTAGATAGATGTTTACTAGGGTCCCCTCAAAATAGCTAGTATTGATCAGATAGCTCATTTGAAAATAATCCACTTCTGTACTTAGAGTCTAGACTATATTTACACGAAGATTCAAAATCGAATAATTATATTTCGTATTACAAATAAAAAATCAGTATTCGATTCGAAAATTGGATATTTAAAAAAAACGATTTAAATAAATTTTGTAAATATTATTCTTTCCAGATAATAGATGAATAAATTTTATTGATTAGATAATAATAGTTGCAAAATAACAAACAATGTATTTATAAATATATATTCATATAAATATATATATTATAAAATAAATTTAATTTAAAGCATTCAAATTTTGTTTGTCAATATCCATATAAAAAATTAATTGTTGAAGATGTTTTGAATCAAATTGTTTATAAACCTAAATGGTTCCCTCGGTTCTCCAGAAGGAACATATTTAAATAAGAATAGTTCCAAATATTATTAATAATTTTCAAATATAGTATTTTTATTTATCAATATTTATGAATATTTGAAAATAATTTTATAAAATTAATTTCCAATAATTCGATCGAATAATATATTTTTTATATTCATTATTCGACTCGAATCATATAATTTTATTATCTAATAACTAATAATTGTTATAGGTATAGCCTAGAACCTTTACTTTAAGTTTAGAAAGTCATATTTTAAATAAATATTTTTTTTATATTACTGAAATAGCTTGGTCGAACCTCACAGAGCGCCTTTGGCAGGGATGATGGCCGCTTTCTTTCTGATTCTAGGCGTATTTGGCGGTTTAAATTTCGCGTTGCTCATTTCAAAATTATTTAATAAATAACAAAAGTGAAAAAAAAAATTAATTTGAAATATTTTTATAGAATCTTACCTGAAAGGTATCATTTCTAACTTGTAAATTATATTATCATTTCAAACTTGTAAATTATCATTTCAAACTTATAAATTATCATTTCCAAACATGTAAAAGATGATTATAAAATTGTAAACACTTTAAGTTTCGACTAATACTATTGCATTCCCACGATCTCGGCTTGAACCAAACGGAGAAAGTACTAAGATGGTTTCCCTATTTTGAGAATTGACTTTGGGCTATAGCTGTAGAGATAACTATGGAATGGGACCGAATCACATCGATTTTGTCATAATTAATTTAGACCTAAAATAATGTGTTACGACACATGTCAGCGAATCTGATTTTATAATATTTATTATCACAAAAACTATAGAATAAAATTTATTAATGAAAACAAATAATAAATTATGCAATATATAAAAAAAACGTAGCATGCAATCATTGCTATGGTGTGGTGTTTCTTTTATAACTTTCACAATAACAATTAAGATCCTTAGGTCTCTGCCAGTTATGTACAACAAAATCTTGGTTTACTTAATGTTATTATGGTTATAATACTAGGTTCGTTTTGACCCCAATCAGACTTTTTAACAACACTACTTTACAAGATGGAATGCTATATATAGAGTTAATTTTAAAAAGTCAAGATAGATGATGTATCATGATTTGATTAGAATTCTAGAAAAATAAGCTCGAATTCAGGTTTTCTTAGTCAACATGCTTGAGAACCGTGGAGTTCCTAAAAATATGCTAGCCTTTTAAGAATTTTTGCACAAATTCCCGATCAACCCGGTAAATATTTTGCCAAGCATTATACTCGTTAAATTTTTTTAACCCACGGGCAGAGCTTTCGGACTGTTCGGACTTTGCAGATCTGTATATTAGCCTTCTTCCCTAAATAATTAATAAAAAAATTAAGGGCATGTTATATTATCAATAAACGTTTTATCAGTATTTTAAAAATTTTATTTAAGCAAATTATCATGGTATCTTCCAAGATGTTAATGCTTCAATGTAGTTCTTCTGACAATATATATCTTAATGATAAAAATGCTCGTTCAATTTTAAAAAAAAATCGTACTCATAAATGAAAAAGCTAAGAAAAAAAATATATACCCTTACTCGAAATCCCTTCCTACACTTAAATTACAATTTAAGGCAACTAACTCAACTAGAATCTCTTCTAAGAATTTCAGACAGTTATTTCATAACAACACGATACTTTTATTATAATATTTTATTAATATGATTTTTTAATAATCAATTTTTTATAAGAAAGAAAAAAGTAATAATCTACAATTTTATTCGAACACAAAAAAAAATAATATTAATATCACGTGTTTTTCTATGTTAATTATAATCCAATCAACCTTATTTATTTTGGTTAAATAGCATTATGCAAAAATTAATATAAATTCATACATAAAACTACGACATGCCACCCCTTTATGGGCCAATGGCATGCCTATATATAAAAAAATATATATATTATATTTACTATATAAAATAGATGGTGTTACGCAAATACGAGAAATTTTCTTTTTTACTATGCCTCTTGATTATTCAAGACATCACTAGAATAATGAATATTCATGGTCCTACAAGGGTATGCTATATGGACATCATCATATAACTTGTTAGGATATTATTTGGCTAATATGAATTCTCTTAACATCAATGGAATACTAAATATTCATGGTCCTACAAAGGTATGCTATAGGGATATCATATACTTGTTAATACTGTAATCTGCTAATATCCCCATCCTATCATATTCATAGCGTGCAAAGGTTTGATCTTCATTTGTCTACATTTACGTCCTATTTATGTTATGATGGATCATTAGGGGTATCGATGGTCATTAGGTGATTGTGATTTGTTAATTTGGATACTTGAAACGACACAAAAAAAATTTTTTTTTCGTGAATATAGAAGGAATAAATTCAGAACAAAACTTTTTTTTTTAATATAATTTTCAAATTACAATTTTGGAGAATTTAAAAAAAAATAATCCAACAACTTATGCCATATTCTCTCCATAAACATTAATTACATTATGGAACGTCTCTTCTCGCTGCCTGGCAAAGATAACAAAAACAAACAAGGCATATTAAAAATATAATTTAAAAAGGAGAGAAAAAGATATAAAAAAAAAATACACCGCACTTGCCAACCAAAAAAAAATATTTCTCATCTTATAACACATAAAAAAAACATACAAAAAAGATGTTTTTATCTCCCTTTTACAACAAACCTTCCACCGCAAATCGAACTTTTATTCCACTTTTTATTTATTACTAAACAAACATTACAAATATATAATTTTTAAAAAAACACGTGCACGCTCTTATCTCACATTGCAACAAAAATATTTTCCCCCTTTCATTTTCTTCTTGCGGCCTGCCAAAGATGAAAAATAACCACAAATATGTAATGTATCAAAACGGTTTATCTAACTTATAATACAATTTCCTTTTAACCATTAACAATATAAGATACATCAATTTTCCATTTTAATCTTACATTATATTCCAACTCTTATTTATGACTAACAACTGGTAACCTCAATGGATACCAACTTTTGCCATTACAAACACGAAAGAATTTAAACCAATAAACTTGCATTTTATCAGCAAACCTCACTACCATCGTGTAATAATAAATAAACCAATAAAATTGCATTTTGTCTACAAACCTCACTACCATCGTGTAATAATGAATAAACCAAAACAAAAAGAATACCAACAGTTCACGTACATTTAAATTCCCGTTTATTCTTTATTTTTACATAAGATTAACCCCGCAACTCCTCATAAACACGGAACACTTTTGATGCATATTAAGAGTATCTTTCCCAATAATTTTCCCAAATTATATATATTAAATAATCACTTTCACCCCTATTACTCCCTGGGTTTTACTGTTGTCCTCAACTATTAATTCAGTGGAACTTATATGCATCTCAGAATTACAGGTTGAATTCCCTTCTTTTACAGCTGAATCCGTCGGTTCTATTTCCCAAATTTTATCTCGAACATTATTAGCCATTCTCATGTTCTTAGTCTCATTTGTAGCCTCTGGTATTGCAAAAATATTTCAAAAATTATTAAAGGGACCCAACTGAACAATCCAACTCCACCCTATGATGGTTTCCACACTTTCCTTCACCACCCATAAATCTAGGAAAAAGATTACATCATTAAAATTAACTCCCAATTTGGCCTTTCCCAACACGGCAACTTCCGATCCATCAAATTGCCTGACGCACATAGCCTCTTTTTCAAGTTTACCCCCAGGCCAATACTTATAATAATTTTTCCTAGACATTATTGAAATGCTAGCCCCTGTGTCGAACAACATGTCGATCTCCCTCCAACTCTTACAGTAACTCTCGTACAAGGTTCGAATAATCGCTTAGTCAATAAAATTTCATATATTTTAATTGATTGATCAATATTTATCTCATCTTAAACATTAGTTTCATGAGAATTCACATTAGAACATAAATTCAACTCGAAATTTAGCGGTTCTTTAATAATATTCATTTTTTTTTAACAATATCACGGGGATATCTTTCCCATTCGATAGTATTAACATCCCTCTTATTTAAATATTTAACAATACCCTTAGGATATTTCCCCCATCTAAAATTATTAGAATATTCATTATTTTTATCATCAGGATAAAAAAATTTCTGTTAAAACCACGGCTTTTATGAGAATCATATCTCATTTCAGTATGGTTATTTAATTTATTACTATTTCTACCTCCCGATCTCCTACTTACTATATGATTACACTTGCAATCATATAGTCAATTTTCGGTACATTTTATGGCTACATGTCCCGGTTTGTTACACTTAAAACACAAACGGGATTTACCATAATTCGATTGTGGAACCTCCAATTTATTCGTGTTGGAACCAGAAATTTTTCTAACATTAGAATTTTCTAGTGTCGATTTCCTTAACGGAAAACCCTCACGAAAATTTGGTTCTTTGACCACACAGGTCTCTAACTTGTGGCCCCTATACACAGCGGGTACATCTCAAATCTTCAAAGATCTTTTTATTCCCGGAAAAACCATTTTTTCCATCTGACCCCGTCGGACCACATATTTGGCCTTTATTACCATTACTATTCTAAATAACCAGTTTATTTATATCTTGATATATAATCTTAATTACTTCTTTCAATTCTCGGAGGATAACTACAGATCTCTCCACAATATCCAAACAATCATGGTTATTACATTCCAAAGTTGCTACCATATCTGGTCTGCCGTTCTTGATTTCATTTAAACCACATTTAAATTACCGAAATTTTTTTCCAACAATCAGCCGACACTGGAGTGTCTCTTTTCCAATTACCATATACTTTGGTCGCAACCAAAGTACATTTTCCAAATAAATTTCAAAATAATATAAATTAAATATATAATTACTATTAATCATAATGTAATTAAATGATGGTCTATATCCAATTCATTTATGTTCTGATACACAATTTTATAACCCATATCCTTAAGGATGGCAACTTTATTAATAAAACCATGCTTAGGATACTTATCGAAATATACAAGCATCTCATATTACAAATTTACTTTACTCTAAAATTACGTTATTACAGAAAATTATATTATTTTATAAAGATTGAGTGTAAATCGAACTAAACTAAAAAAAAAAAATTTTTTTAAACTATTTTATTAATTAAAATTCTATAAAAAATTTAAAAAATAAAAATGTGATTGCGTTGTGTCCTGAGGAGAGATTCAAAATGTAAAATAAAAATATGGTTTTTACCTTATAATAACGAATATTTTGGTATCTAATATCCTGTAGTCACGGTCAACAACTGAAAAAGCTAAGAAAAAAATATATACCCTTACTCGAAATCCCTTCCTACACTTAAATTACAATTTAAGGACAACTAACTCAACTAGAATCCCTTCTAAGAATTTCAGAACAGTTATTTCGTAACAACACG